GCATCCCCAAGAGGCCGGGGCCGTGGTGTCCGGGTGGAAAGCTGGAGAAGAGCAGGGACCAAGCTGGGGAAGAAAGTGTAGCATGGACGGTGGTCGTGGGAGGAAGCAAGCAGAGATCAGCCTGAACAAAGGCAAACACAAACCAAAGATGGTTGAGGCAGGAGGAAAAGACAATTGTAATTAATAGGGTGAAAGCACCCTACGGTGCTCTAAGCTCTGGTCCCTCTAACCCTGGGGCCAGCTTCAGCTTCTACTGCAGGCCGGTCTCCTGCTCTGTATCACGCTGAAACAGCACTCAGGAGCAGCGGAGGTGCTCGTAGGGGAACGGTGGAGAAAGCCATGTGAGCGCAAGAGGTGTGGGAAGGGATGCTGGTGCAGCCAGGGAAAGTGAATCACTTTGCCAGGTTGAACTGGTGCTAAGGGGAAAAAATACAAGTCGCCGTGGGTGGGGAGCGGCCATCCTGTCAAACTTTCCAGAGAGGTTCCAGCGCCATGCAGGGAAGGGCTGGGAGGGGAGAGGGGACGTGCTGCCACTCCCAGCGTTAATTATTACCTGGCAGGTTGGGGTGAAAGGGTCTGGTGGAGGCCGTGCACATTGCATTCAGTTTGCTTTCCTGGAGTTTGTAACACCTCCCATCGGAGGATATCCAGCTGTGCTTTAAATTCCTGCTTCTGGTTACTTCCCCAAGTATGCCCAGATGAAAAAAAAACCCTAAAACTTTTGCTAGCAAGTAGTGGAGGGAACAAAGCTTGCTGGATCCTCAGTGTGGGCTGCTGACTTTAGGGCACTAGATGTGGCACACTCAGAGCCGTAGGCGTGCAAGAAGAGGAGGAACACACGTCAGGGTGCCGAGAGACTGCAGCTTCAACAACAAAGTTGAGTACTTCAGGCCGTGGTGTAACATAGAGCTGCAGTCCTGGCACCCCATCCTCGGCTTCCCCTGCTGATAACCTACTTTCCTTCACTGGGGATAAGCACCTGCATCTTGTGGATGCTGTGTGCAAGCTCTTGGGCTCGTGGTGGCCCCTTTAACACCAGCAAAATCTGGTCTCGTCTGTGTCCCTCGTCGTGGCTCCTTGTGAACCTGGGGGAGTGGTTCACAGCTCAGGACCGCAGAGTTTGTAAATACAGATAAACATGATGGACCGTGACCTGAACTCACAGACCTGCTTGCCCCAAACCGTCAAAGCAGCGTTCAGTGCTGTCAGCAAAGCTGTCTTCCCGTGCTGTGAATGCGCTTGTCTCCAAAAAGCTTAGAGCAGCAGAAAAGACTTCTGATCCCTAAGCCAGTGTAGTAGAGCTGTGTATTTTTTAAATGCTGAATTAAAATAAACAGTGCTGTACCCAACAGTCTGCCTGGCTGTATTGTGGGGGCAGTTCCTGTAATTCTGTGTGCCCTTGGGGTATCTTACATAGGTAGTCAAGAGTCTTCAGAGGAAAGCTGCTGAGAGGAATGCAAACATTAATTGCCAAAGAGCAGCCTTCTTCAGACACTCTGCCCTAGCTTGCCTGTGTGACACTTGACAGAAACCTCCCCTAAAGAAATAGGTCCCTTCATTAATAGCTGACCTGTAAGTTATTGCACAGCACTTTGTGGTGCAACAAGAGACGGGATTGTCCAGCGGGTAGGGCAAATCCTTATTTTACAAAATAAACTAAAAATGTTTGAAGGAGAAAGTTTGGGAGAAAGCTGTGCTTCCCTGCTCAGCTGGACACAGGGCTGTGCTGCTGTGACTGCTGCAGAGGAATTGATGATAATCTCTTTGCTTCTCTTCAATCACCCTGGCTGCAGGGAGGTGCAGAAAGCAGTGAACACCGCCCAGGGGCTCTTCCAGAGGTGGACGGAGCTCTTGCAAGATCCCTCCATCGCCACAAGAGAAGAAATTGACTGGACCACTAATGAGCTCAGGAATAACCTGCGGAGCATTGAGTGGGACCTGGAAGACTTGGATGAAACAATTAATATCCTTTCTGTGGTCCTCTGGAGGTAGAGACTTGTGGTTCCCAAGTTGTACTAAATAGCCAAATACCGGTACTTGTCAGTAGTTACTTTTCGCAGAAATCAGGAGTATTTGGGATTGAATTTTGCATTTACATCGGCTTTTGTCAAACTGCAAATGAGAAATCCAAGGCAAATGTATTCAGCAAAAGGATTTTCCTTTTGCCTTTTTGTTTGCCTTTTGACAAGGTATATTCTAAGATGCTTTGTTCTAGAAAGCCTATTGTGTTGTATGAATTTGTATTTCTGCGTAGTCAGACATACTCTAGGCTGGCTTCCAGAACAACTCCTTTTCCCTTGTGTTCATCTGAACACTCCTGAAAGCACTGCGCAGCATCAGAGAACCAAAAAAATGCAAGAGAGAAACCTCTTGTGTATGTATTGCATAGAACCGTTTTTTCCTCCACCGTTTCGTACTTTGTTAATCAAATTTTGGGAAAAGGCACAGTGGAATGGCCACTTGGTAGATCCCCACTGCAGCATGCTCGGGGGCTGTGTTTCTGTATGTGTACCCAACACTGCTAACAGGGAGTCCTTGACTTGCTGCCTACGCATTGTTGAGGCAAACCCACGGAAATTCAACCTCGATGCGACAGAGCTGGGTATCAGGAAAGCCTTCATCACGAGCACACGGCAGGTGGTCAGGGTAAGGAGCATGGGCTTGCGATGGGAGCTTGGGGAATGCAGGGGGAGTGATTTTGTCATAAAAAAAAAAGGCAAGCTTGTGGCCATTTCTGTGCTGAACTGGAGAGCAGAGAATAAACCTGCCACCTGTTCTCTCTCAGGCTTCCTCCTCTTCCCTGTGCGCTCCCTCCTGGGGCTGCCCAGATGGGTTTGGGGTTGTGAGGGTGCAGGTACCCCATGGCATACCCTTCTTTTCTGCTGCTGTCCCTTTAAGTCTTCACACCTCTCTTGCAACAGCAAGCCTAGGAACCTATAGTAACTGAGGAGGAAGAGTAAAGACCCCACTGTGATGCAGGGGAGGCTGGAACCTCCCTTCAGAGTTGAAGGAAATTGCAACTGTCCTGTGCTTTTGTAGCGCTAGTTTTCAAAAAAGAGTCCACTTTGAACACTGACAGATGCTTAAAGCCTAGTGTTATTGACGTGGTGACTTCAACTTCCTACCGCTACAAAAGAGTCCAAACAACTGCTAGATTTATTTTTAACTTGAGGGAGTTGTTTGTTTTTTTTTTTTTAGTTTAAGCTCACACTTCAGACGCAAAAAGAGGATTTTTACAACTTGGTGGTGATAAATAGAGAAGAAACATCTTCACTGCCTGGTAACAAGCTGCTAGTTAGGAAGTTTTGTCCCTATTAATAGCTACACTGAGCGTAGCTTAGTTTCTGCTGCCCCTCGTGACTCTGATGTTCCTGCTTCACGAAATGCATTGCTGTGGCTGGCAGCAAGCTTGTTACCCTACCTGCAGCCCTGTGGTCTGGATGCAGTTCCTAAGGCTTGCTGCCTGGGAACTGATCCCGAAACCACGCTGGGCCTAGAGAGCAGACATGTGCTCGCGGCCTTGCCCTCAGTGTAGTCCACTCCCAAACGGGCAGGATCAGGCAAGCTCGCTCTATGGTCCTCTTTTCCTGGCTGAAAACTGCTGGCTAATGGGTTTTGGAGCAGCGTCTCTTACTGTTAAATGAAATTCGTTAGTGGCATTATGCAGCTGACTTCCAGTTTCCATGGGGGAATTCCTGATGCACAGCAGCATGTGCATTAGCTGGTGAGAAGTAATCAAGTGGGATCTGGTGCTCTTACGTGATGTATTACATGTCTCTGAACAGTAAAACATACCTAAATGTTCTGGTGACATCAGAACCGTGCTGGTGGATCAACCTCTGCTAGATCATATTGGCTACTTGCTAATCTACCCTATAAGAGCTAGACTACTTTACGTTGTGATGGGGAGCCTTCTGTGGCTAGCGATCTTCTACAGGAACTCAACAGCAAAACTTAATTGATAAAAGAGAAAACATAGGCACAGTCAGAGAGGTTGGCCACAGGACAGGAAATCTATCTCGTCCTATGCAGTATAAAACCAGATGCAAATGGGGATAAAGTGCCGGGGGTTACAGGCTTCCGAGACCTTGAAGACCATGACTCTTCCATACAGTCTATCAATGGGAACGTTAGTTTTAATATTATACAAATCAAAGTGTTGCTGGCTGTAGTGGAGCAAAATGAGTAGTCAATAAAGAATATTTTCAAAATATCCCATTGCCATTGATTCTAGTATTAGTAAAATGATGAACTGTGAGGAAGCTTTCTACAGTATCCTTCCAGACTCTTCAATACTGTACTGTTTCAAAGAAAATCTCCCTTCCCTCGCTCCCCCTGAAGAAGCCTTGCTGCATATAGACAGCCCTGTAGCACCCTGAAACTGCCTGTCACCTCAAATCCAACACTCACATACTTCTTCTTTTGTTGAACAAACAGGAAATGAAGGATCAGATGTCGAACTCCTCCATGCAAGCACTGGCTGAAAGGAAAACCAGGCAGGTGAGAACCAGAAATGGGCAAGTTAAGTGGATGCAGTGGTTGTTTGGTACTTTACGGAGTGAGGAGGATTTATCAGTTCTAGCAGCTGTTGTCTTAAGGTATGCGTTAGGTGAAACTTCCGTTTTCACTTATTCCGAGGCCCCACATCGTATAGCATCGATCAGAACTGCGTAAAAGCTGTAATTACAATATATATCCTGTCTGTAGTTCATCCCCTTAAAAACCTTTGTTCTGGGAAGGCGCTTGCATGCTGCAGCAAAGCTGTGTGTTTGAACCACGTTTGTTTTGCTGACCTGAGAGATCCAGTTCTCACAGGCACATTGCTGCCACCCTCTTCCAAGCTTGTCTCTCAAAGCAGTAAGTCAGCACTCGCCATCTGTCTCTCTCTTCAGATCTGGGTGCGTACAACTGTCAGTGTTGCATCATCCTGCGGAAAGGGGAATCTCCCTCCTCCTCGGGGGGAACAGACTTAGAATCCATGTCAGTGAATGTAATCTTGTGCTCTGCTGTATTTAGGAGCCAAGGTGCTGCAATATCCTTTCACACAGCTGCCTTTTGTAATAGTTAGCCATGTAAGAAGATGGAAGAAGCTCAGGGAGTCTCAGGTTGTCTGCACTTGTAATCTAAGGAAGAGAAATAGACGTGGCGTGTGCTCCTCCCTGGCTGACAGGGAGGCTGTAAGGAGATCTCAGAGCTGACTTCCAGAGCTGCCTCCGTAAAAGTTGGTGTGTGCTTCATACAATTCACTTACCTGGCTGCATCAGTCTTGCCACTTGTGGCAAAAATGACGAACTGCAACAAGCTACTGAGAAGCACAGAGCTGATTCCTGAGCTTGTTATGGGGTTAATTGACGTGCTTGGCAAACACTTGAAGAAGCAAAGTCCTTTACACACTTGCTCAAACAAGTCTGTAGCTGTCTCTGTGTTTTGCTGCTTTCCTTTGCGCGAAGTTCCTGCTAGCTGCAGGAGACCGTATGGCCCAGCTCACATGGCAACATCTGGTCAGGAAAACTGACTTCCCCTTGCTGCCTTCCTCTCCCTTCCCCAGCCCCTCGCCTTCTCTCCAGACCGCAAAGTTTGTGCGAGGCTGGGCTGCAGCAGCTTTTCCAGTGTGCCTCTGTGTCCGAGAGGGTGGCTGGTGACAACCTGACCCTCACTAGCTGAGGCTGGCAGACAGAGGCCTTTCTTTTGAAGGTGCATCAAAACTAGTGCACCGTGTTTAATAAGCAGTAGCTGTGCTTGCCACGAACTGGAGAGAACCAGGAGCTTGCTTAGTGTCTCAGGGGCACAACCAAGCCAGGTGTCCTGCTGGCTTCCTGCACAGTCGGTCCGTTGGTTTTCTTCACCTGTCCTTGAACCTTGTAAGGCAGATGAACTGTAGAGGCAGTCTCTCTCAGTAGAGGCCGGAGCAGCCTAAAAGGTCAGTCTCACTGTTCTTTGCAAATACTCAGTCATCCCCTCCTAGCCACAACCAGAAGCTGCAAGACGGTTTCGTTACGAGTCGGCCTTGCCTCCACACTGGTGAGCAGAGCTCCCTAACCTGTTCATAGTGCTGCAGGGTGCAGCTCCTCACCTAGGGGCCACGTTCATTCCCCAGTATCTGTTGCTCATGTTAGTCCTGTCCCAGGGACGAGACTCACTCAGCTGGAAAGCCACATCTCTGCTGGCTTTGTGCAAGCTTCTCCATTCAGGTTGTAGAGCAGGTAGCAAGCGTAATCTTGTGTGCTGGCAACTGAACAGTATGCCAGAGGAACAGGTAGCCTGAATCAAAGAACATGACCATACAACACTGCTGTGGTTAGATATTGCACTGTTTTACTGTCAGCTCAGCTGGTTAAGGTCTTTATCCAGACCCTCTTAAGCCCCTGTCATTAGTAGCACAGTGTTCAGTTTGAGCTATACATCTGTTAACACAATATATCTGGATGCTTCCCAGCTTACATGTTGTAGCACACAGTGCTGCCTCTTGAGCAGATCTTTGCTAGTCTTTTGTGCTGTGCAGACCTCCTGCATACACTGTCTGTCAGTCGTACTCCAGCTCTCCTGGTGCTGGAGAGGCATTTTGGCATTGTGTTGTTCTAGTTTGTGACAGCACTCGGGCTGAGTAGCAATAGAGCAGAAGGAAAAGGATGCTGTACGTGTGTGTACGGGAGTATTGCCTCATCTGCCTTCCCACTACACTCTGTAGATGGGCTGTGAGCAGACATAAGGGTGTTGCTAAGGGCTCTCTGCATCTGTTTAGGCGCTCCTGGGAGAAAGTGGGAGTCAGAGTTGGAGCTCTGGACCTGACAAATACAGCCGTCTGGACCGGGAGCTGCAATTAGCAAATTCACACTTCATCGAGGAGCAGCAAGCTCAACAACAGGTAAGGCAGCTGGCACCATGCAGACTAAATAGCTTTGCTTGCCAAATGGGTGCTGGGGGGATGAGGTACAGGCTGCAAGAGCCAAAAAAAAAAAAAAAAAAAATCCAGTGCTTGGCTCGTCTAGATCCAGGAGCCTGACAGCCCTCCCCTTTGCTTGCAGCATATACTTGTGCATGCGTTTCCTGTACAGCGCAGCTTTGGATGCATCTTGGAGCAGATACTTTAATGCTTGAGACTTGGGTCTTCTGCTCTGTGCAGAAGGCAAACATGATCTGGAAGCCGTAGTACACAAAGCTTTAATACTGCAAGGATTGCTGAAATCTTTGGAAAAGTAGGAACGTTGCAAACAGAAGAGAGCCTGTTTCTCTTACCCAGTTTCCCCTGGTTAAAAAAATGAGCTGATGTTTGCTGTTGTTTGTGTGCATCTTCATCAGAACAGGCTAGGAGCAGGAGCACATGCCTGCTTCCTTTTCCTGCCTTTGTCAACATGAAATTCGTGAGAAAGCCTGTGCGAGGATTTTGCAAGAATGCCTGGTGAGGTGCTTCCCTGCCACCGGGGGATTTCATCTGGAGAAGTGCCCGGGCAGCATGCAGACCCTCATCCAGCAGCCCACCCAAACACGAGCCTTTTAAACAGGCAGCTTCTCAGAGGTGGCAAACTCTGCTAAATCTCCTGACCCATGATGCCGCCCTGGCTTTCAGACGAGTTTTACCTAGTGACTCTAGGAAGATAAATAGATTCAGAAGTAGGTAACTAGGGTAAATCTAATCCTTAGTGTGTCTGTGCCCTGAAAATGACTTAAAACATTAGTAGACCTATTCCTTTGGCACATAGGGGCCAGGCTTGCTATTTTTAGCTGTAGAAGCTGCAACAGCCTTTTACTCACATTAATGCCTTGTTAGCTGCAACATGTTCCAGGTTGCATTTCCCAGGCACAGCATCAGCGTGGCTCCCTGGTGCCCACTGCTGTACCTGCTTCGGGCAGGGGGGCTTGCAGTGGTTTTGATGACCAGCCCCTGTGGCTTTCAAGAGTTGCCTTAGCAGTGGGTGCAGCAGGGAAGGGAGGGGGCATGGCTGAGCTGAGGCTGGATTTGCAGGCGTGTCTGGAGACTGCAGCCTGCTATGCCGCGGGGATGCCATGCTGGGGAGGCTTTCCTGTGGCTGTCACTGCTCCAGCATTTCTTAGGAACACGGTCCTCGTTCCTGGTGGCTTAGGTCTGTGCCCAGGCCCTGCAGCTGATGTTGGTTGAGCAGTGAGTGTCTGTCCACCGGCTCCGACCCAGCTGCAGGAGGCAGCAGACCTGTAATTGCCCATTTCCCTTCTCTTTGGCCCCAGTTGATTGTGGAGCAGCAAGATGAGCAGTTGGAGCTGGTCTCTGGCAGCATCGGGGTGCTGAAGAACATGTCCCAGCGCATTGGCGGGGAGCTGGAGGAGCAAGCAGTGTAAGTGCGAGACACAGTGCTGAAAACCCAGTATGGGGCTGGCTGCAACACAGCTGGAGGTCCTCGCACACATATCTCTGCCCCCGTTAGGGCCTTGAATTTACTAGTCCCTCAGGCAGCCTCTCCTAGCTGGCTTCTGATTTCAGGCAGTGGAAAGCATTCCTTACTACAGCCTGCAAGGGTCCAACCTCAGTCTCATTCATTTGAAAGCCTGCACCTAGGGCAGGCTTAGCTGCCAGTTTACCTTTCCTTCTTTCTCCTCCTTTTTAAACACTCTCCCCAAGGCACGCAGTTACACTCCTTGGCTTCAGACAGCCAGCAGTACCAAACAGATGAGGGAGGGAGGTGCTGTGTAATGGGGAGACTGGGTGCTTTCCCACTCCGCAAGGGTTTGTGCTGCCCCTGGGTAACTGCTTGACCCAGGAATTCTCAGTTCTGCCTTGCTGCTCTGAAACACGCAGCACAGAGCTACTATTCATAGTTAAAGCTAAAAATACCCCTCACCCACGCAAAGGGTTAAAGGGTAGCTCACAAAGTAATTTGCATCCATCCATTTACATATAAATTAGATTTCTTTCCCGGAGCATGTCCTTTGCAAACAAGTGCATAAAGTTTCCAGTTAATACAGGCTAACAGCTACCACTTCCAGAGAGGCTTGAAGGGTTCATGCCTAAAAACCCTCCTTGGCTGACAGAGACTGGAGGGCTATGTCCCTTGTGAAGTGATGTCGTCTATTGATGGAGAGGAGGAACTTTAAACCCACCTCCTGTATGAAGTCTTGCAGTGTGAGAGTTTTCTGCTCTCACGGAAGCAGTTTAGTGTGGTGTGTCCATTTCCAGATCATCATGTAAGCCACCAGTGCTTGCTAGACAGTAGCAGATAAGTACTGCAATGAGTTTTTTACAACTCTTTCTTCTTCCTCAGTGAGTGAAGGTTTAACAAGTGCTTTAGATCTCCAGATGAAGGAAGCTGTCCTTTGAAACGTGTTAAGCTTTAAAGTCTCACTGGCTGGAGACAATTGGATTGGTACCTTGATTCTGGACATGCTTGTTTCTCTTCAGATGGGTTCTTGGCATTGACAAAGTACAGCTTCAGGAAGGCTTTCAGATTCATTACAGTTGCTGTGTGGAGGAAGTAGAGGGGTAACTTCCATGCAGAGCTTAAAAAGCACAGTAAAAGCAATTGCAAGTCTCACTCCTGCTTGATACATGATTGGAACAAGATTTCAGCTTCAGCTGCAAGCTCTGAACAAGAAAAGAGATTTGAAGTGCAAGCTGGCACCTAGATCTATCTAACCAGCCTCTCTCAGATTATAAATGAGACTTTCCTCTTAAAAGGAGGCAAACCCACACTCCTCACCTTGCAGGGGTGTACAGAGCTCAGCCTCAAACACGCGGGGGGGGGGCCAGTCCAACAGGAGTCCCAAATTTCCCACTTTCCACCAAAGCAGAGCTGCTGCTTCAGCAGGTTGTTTTTTTTTTTCCCCCACCCTTGGGTACTTTCAGGAGACCGGGCCATGTTGCGTTTCTCTGCCAAGGTGTGATACACTAATCGTGTCAGTGTTCTGATCAGTGTGTGTGAGCGTGCTGAGAAATCCCGCAGGGATGCACTGCTTGCTGGTAAGTGCTGTGCTTCTCTGTCCCCAGGATGCTGGATGACTTCTCCCACGAATTAGACAGCACTCAGTCGCGGCTTGATAATGTCATGAAGAAGCTTGCCAAAGTGTCTCACATGACGAGTGGTAGGTCCTGGGAAGTGGGATCCAGTCCTGGAAAGGGAGAGACAAGCCCTTGGATCTTCGGGCTGGGACAATACATGCTCCCACCCACTGACAGCCATCCCAGATCCGAGCAGAGGGAAGGGAGCCGCTCTCAGTGCTTGAAGAGGGGGAAGACTTCCAAGCCCTGCAGCTGCTCCTGCCCAGACACTGCTTTGCAGCCTGTCCTTTGCCTTTGTTTTATTTGCAGATGCCTTTCTATTTATGCTGCTACTGCCGTAGTGGGAAAATCCCCCTATAGATTGTAGGAGGGGAAGCTCTGCAGTCTCCTGCTCTGCTGCAGTTTCCCAGGCTGCCTGTGGAACAAAAGCTTTCATGGTGCCATAAAACACTCGCCACTGTGTGTGGCTTCTCCTGCACCAAACGCTTGCCTGCTGCTAGCCCCTTCCCAAATCCCACCTGGCCTTGGGCTGCTGGCGCCTGTCAGTCAGATATATCTCTCGGCTGGCAGAGGAAAGAGGCAATTTCTGTGCCGGGGCGGCAGGGGGGGGAGGCTGAACCCATGAGAAAAGTCCTTATAAGGCTGTGCCTGAAGCTGGTGGGCTGGTGGGGCGCCGCAGGCAGAGCAAACAGGAAGCCCGGCGTGCCTGCCGGGAAGTCCAACGGCTCGCCTCTCTGAGCGCTGGCGATGAGCCCAGCAGTCACCTCCTCCATTACCCCTCTCCCGTGGGTGCTCGGGTAGCTTGTGGAGGCAGCAGCGAGTTGGGAGGAGAAGCGTTCCTGCTCTGCAGGATTAAGCTGGCCGGGGGATTTTATGAGGTTGTGGAAATACGGCCCTAGAGAGACCATCCGCGTGCTGACAGCGCACTTCGGGCCATCAGTAGCCTGCTGGCAGCATGACCGCATGGCAAACCTTGCGTATCTCCCCTTTCCTCTGGGAAAACCGCTTCGATCATTGCAGAGTGCTTCTAAGACTTATGAACGAGAATTCCTGCTATCCCTGGCATCGCACGCGCTGGGGCTACCCAGG